ATAATATATATTATTTATTTATATAGTTACTAGTTATATATATATGTATTACAGCAGATATGCGGTAAAGAAGGGAGAAGATGGAATAGTGGACATGGGGGGGGGGGAGATAATAGAAGTGCTTGCGGTGGAGAAAAGGGAGGAAGAAGGTGGATTAGGTATAGGTAGCGGGATGGTGGAGCAGGTGGGGAGGTCGACGAGGAGAGTTGCTAGACGAGGCAGTAGATGTGGGGGGCGCAACAACAGCTAAAAATATCAATGATAAGCAATTTCCGGTGGCATTCGGCGCATGTGAAAAATCTGGCGAGTGGAATATTAAAACCTATTTCCTGATGATTAGACTAGTACACCACCCCTCGGTAGTTAAATACCGAGTTAAACGTTATGGCGAGTATTCATCTCCATCTTGCGCGGGTATATAGCTATTTCATAACTTTGCAAAAACTACTAGTAGGCCTACTTGTCAGAATGTATCGCTACACCTGACACATAGGTTTAACCTAACTCTGTATGCACATGTGTATCATACACGGATGTGAAAAATGATCGGCTTGTCCACGCAAGACTGACTTGAACCGACCCTTGTCTCACCCCGCAAGGCTTCTCAACGACTGACGGATTTAGCCAAAGTGTGTATATATATATAATTTTTGATAACCCATTTCGATGACGTAGTTGCCCGTGCAACAGACTCAGCGTGTGTGTAAGCTGAAACATGCGGAACGTGCAGGAACGTGCGCGTAGGCTGATGTCGTTGCTGCTATAGGCAATTATGTAGAGTGGGAGGCTGGTAATACACAGCCTAGTGCTACTCATATGCGAAAATAGGTCTTCTAACAAGAGCCGCAGAGCGTCTGGGCTCATCTGAGGTCTGTTCCTACGGTTATAAACGTAACATTTAAGTCGTGCGTAGTGACATCTTTGTTAGGCGCAGATATGCAGATATGCAGTTGCGTACACATCATTTCAGCAACCTTCTGCATTCTGCATACCTCCCAAATCCCATTGGTTGATACAAATGGCATGCCTGAAATATGGTGCATTGTGACCAAACCCTAACCCTATTAAAAAAAGAAATTATTTGTTGTTATTAAATTGTTGTAAATAAATCATGTAAATATTTGTGTTAATTGGAAAAAAATAGTTAAATGGATAAAGAAAACATGTAAATAATAAAAAATCAGATGGGATTCGATCCACCGACATTTGAGCCGTAACGCCTGTGCTGCACACGTTCGGCTATCCAGGCTTATTGGCTTTCTAGATTATGGATGTGCCATGAATATGACAACACTGTGACGTCATTGAGGCAGTTCAGAAATCCATGCATGTTTAACCCTTCTCTTGAGGGTTAAAAGGTTATCAGACACTTACTCTTCGCACGTAGTGGAAAGCACATTTTATGGTCCTTTCAAGAAAGTGATAAAAATGGTAGGTCAGCGCTGAAACAAAAAAGTTTTTCACTCTGTCCATTAGGCCATGTCCTCAGAAAATGTCTGATATCTGACCTTTCCCCCCACTGCCCTTTGACCTGTGACCTCCAATTTCGCACTGGTGATGGGTTTCCCGCCCATCACACTATACACCGAATATTAAGAGCATAGGTCGTCGAGCCGTTAAGATGTGTGCCGCAATTCCGTATTTCCTCCTATAAGGGGGAAATATTCCCCCTCCGTTTACACATCTTGACCTTTGTCTTGACCCCCCAAATTTGTCATCCTGAGTCCTTTTCACGATCCCCCCCCCCTTTATACTTATATATATATAGGTGTAAGTGTGCACAGTGCAGCCGCGTGAGGAATGGCGGCCGCAAGCGTATGTTGCAAATAGGATTTGGACGGACT